CATAGAAAGACATTTGTAGGCATGAATAACTTTGCACATTTTTAAGAAATAGAGGGGGAATCAGACCGTAGTGTAATACACGTCAGGTTATGTGCCATAGTGGCTATTGAAGTTCAGCGATTGACCTTACCTGTCTGAGTAAAATGTGTGAGGAATGGACAGCGCTTTGATGTCAAGTATTTATGTGAGTAGTCTTGGGCAGTTGACCTCATAATGATGGTGAGGCCTTAGCTCCAATTATAGTATACTCTGTTCGGTTTTGGCCTTTATCCACCTGTGCCTAGTGATCTCTTGAGATATCCTTAAGGGATTTTTATGTGTGTCCCTATATAGGGAGTGTTCCTGACGGTGAGTGTCATTAAGGATTGTATCCTGAGGTATAAGAGAGCCAGGGAGTAAGTGGGCAGCAGCCACACAGGGTCTGAGGTTTAAGACAAATGTCTAAGGTTTGCCCTTCTAGCGTGGCTTGGTGTCATCTGGGGTTACCAATGGGGGGGGCGATCACCTTCATTTAGAGAATAGTGCCATTTACGTAATTTGACTTGAAACGTATTACAGAATCTAAATTGAAATTAAAGGGAAGTAGGTTCGGAGTGCTAAGCCTTGGGTATATTGCATGTAATGGGTGCGTACTCCATAGGGGCCCCTATGACTATTTTAATTACTGCCCCTATAGTCAGTCTGTAGCCTGACTGTTAGGACCCTTCTCTATGGGGACAGTAGGCTGGGTGAGTATTTAGACCTGGTGGTCATCATGAAGGCAGCTTTTGCGACAGGTAGCTATGGAGTGGTTCAAGTGTGCATTTTAGGGGTACCAAACTGGGTTTAAACAGCTTATCTTTTGGAACAAATTGGATAACAGTAATTGTTGCCAGTGACCACTGCCTAGAGGTCTGGTGTTGAGCCATGCAGGATAAATATGGCGATTCTTGCCGGATCCCAAGTGCAGTTTGGACGGGTTGTAGTGTGTGACCCCTCCTGGGTGAGTGAGTCCTGTGGTAGGCCCAGAGCCCGCATTAGAGCTGCTGTGTCCTGGAGGTCTTGGAACTGGTGTGAGTCAGTCTCATGTTGGACGATGAGCGTTTGGGAGAGCCACCAGCGGTGGAATTGTAGCAGGGAGGTGAGTGGTCGGATTGACCTATGCCATGCTAAAGTACCGCTTAAAAAACCAGTGAAGAATGTCAGCGCCATTTACTCAAAATGGAGAGGTGTTTTACTCTATAGGGCCTTGAGGACCGCTGCTTTAACTTTTCTATTGCGGAAGGTGACTATAACGTCCCTGGTGGCTGTAGCTGATGCCTTGGCGGGTTTGGGGACCCTAAAGAAGTCTTCGTGGTTAATAGTTTTGGCCTGCCTGGGTGGTAGTAAAGCCGTTAACAGGCGTCTCATTATGAAAAATGGGGCCCCTCTAACCTTTAGGTTGTTTCTCCGCCTGGTGTCTTCTTGATCAGCGAAGTGGCGATCATGCATCCGATGCTGCTCTTGCAGGTCATGTTGGAGTTTGGCGATGTCCTGAGTGCATCCTCAGGATGTTCCCTCTAGTGTGCTAATTCGGTGTGTGAGGCCCTGTAGGTCACCTCGGATTGCTGTTACATCCATTAGGATGTTCTTTTGAAGGTCTCCTAGTAGCGTCTTTAAGAGCGCGGTGGTTACCGGCGAGGAGTCTGAGCCTGCCTTACTTTGTCGAGCCAGCAGCGCTGGAGCAGGAGTGGGTAAGTATTATTCCTCTGCGTCTCCAGAAAAACTGAGCAGCCTCCATGAATAGCCACCATATTGGGCCTGCTAGCGCTGTGTGCTTGCCTCCACATGTTGCCGGTCGTCAGCCGAGGTAGGCTTATCTGGTACCGTTTTCTTGGTTTTGCATCCCATGTGGCTTGGGTCGTCTAGGGGAGTCCCCACTGTCAATTGGATGTAGAGTGATATAAATTATCCGTTGATTTCGCCGTGTGGAGCTCGGAGCTACAAGTTAATGCGACCACTGTAGTGGTCAGGCTCCGCCGTTAAAGTCAAACTTCGACAGTTCCCTTTAGGCTAACATTTACCTGCCAACATTTTTAGAGTGAAGGAAATTTTGTATATAGCCTATGTATATACAACAGTTTGTCTTTGTCGTGATTTACAGGATTATTGACTATAGTGAGAATTCAAAGTAAATACCTGAACTAAGCCACCTATGCTTTCAGTTTGGCTCCTCTGGTCTTAAATTTAAAATTTACTTTGAATTCTATAAATTTCTTATTGAGGCCTAAAATTTGAAATTCCCAACAATTCACAGTTTAGTAAATAACACTGTATATTTTTGGGGAGCTTATATAATTCTATTATTTTTAGCATTTCTTTATCCAAGATGTTTAGTATAGGTGTTGCAGAGTTGTAAAAGTATGTTTTTATGTGGTGTCTTTCCTTTAACCCCTTAAGGACGTGTGACATGTGTGACATGTCATGATTCCCTTTTATTCCAGAAGTTTGGTCCTTAAGGGGTTAAACTTTACATTTTTAAATACATTTGAATTTTATTTCTGTAAAGCTGATTTTGTTTTACATACCATATATACTCGAGTATAAGCGACCCGAATATAAGCCGAGGCATCTAATTTTACCAGAAAAACTGGGAAAACGTATTGACTTGAGTATAAGCCTAGGGTGGGAAATGCAGCAGCTACTGGTAAATTTCAAAAATAAAAAAAGATACCAATAAAATTACATTAATTGAGGCATCAGTGCCATACTGGGCAAGAACCACCACTTAGTGGTCTCTCAGCCCCCATTTCCCCATATTCTCCTCACCACCTCTCCCTCAGTGGACTCCCCTCCCTCCTTAGTGATCTCTCAGCCCCATTCCTCCCCACTCCTACCCCCCCACATTCTCCTCACCCCTCTCCCTTGGATGGTTCTTCTCCCATTCTCTTCTACTCCCCAGCCACCCATTCTCCTCACCTCCCCTCCCTCCTCTGGTGGTCTCTCACCCCCCACCTCCCCCTCCTTCAGTGGACTCCATTACTGGCCTTACTTAATGCTTTCCTATAGGCATTCCCGTGACCGTGTGCAGTGTAGCCATTCAGTGTCTCCACCCTCTGCATGCAAACACTGAACTTTCCTCATAGAGATTCATTGATTTAATTCATCTCTACAAGGAAATGCTGATTGGCCATGGCTGTGTTTGACTTGTGATGGCTATGCTTCCGATTTAACTCCTTGACAGTCTCAGCCAATCCTACGTGGAAGCATTGTGATTGGCTCAGACCACCACTTCTGATGTCAATAGGCAGTTTAGAGGCAATTTATTACGAGAGAGACAAAAGTTAACTTTTATAACCTATCCAAAAAAACAAAAATCTCTTGACCTGTCCTGCCCTATCTATCATCCCATATCCCTGCTCCCTTTTTCCTCACAGCTTCTGGAAAGACTTGTCTTTACCCATCTGGCTTGCTTCCTGAATTCAAACTTTCTCCTTGATCCTCTTTAGTCTGGCTTCCACTCTACTGATACTGCCCATTAAAGTTACAAACTACCTAATCGCATATTAATTCTTCTTGACCTCTCTGCTGCCTTTGACACTTTTGACCATGTTCTATAAATCAAACTCTTCAATCACTCGGTCTCTGTGACACGGTCTTCTTGTGGTTTTCCCTCCTATCTCTCCCAACGCTTTTTCAATGTCTTCTTTTCTAATGATACCTCCTCACTTTGTCCTGTCTCGGTTGGAGTACCCCAAGGCTTCGCTCTTGGTCCCCTACTATTCTCTCTTGGCAAACTTATTACCTCATTTGAATTCCATTAACTCCTGTACGCTGATGACACACATATCTCTCCTCTCCAGACCTCTTTCCTGCCATCCTGCAATGTGTCCCTGCTTGCCTTTCTTCCATCTCTGATTGAATGTCCTCCTGCTTTCTGAAACTTAATCTCTCTACAACACAGCTTCTTGTCCTCCTAATACTGATCCTCCTCTTTCAAGTTAGTGGTACCCACATCAGCCCATCTATGCAAGTGCGCGGTCTTGGCCTTTTATTTAATTATGGCCTCACCTTTCAGTCTCACATCTAGTCTGTTACCAAATCCTGTCGATTCCACCTTAAAAACATTGCCTGCATCCATCCCTTTCTTACACAAACTAAGGAGCTTGTTCATGCTCTAGTAATTTCTCGCATGGATTATTGTAACAGTCTCCTAATAAATCTTTCCAGAAGTCTATCACAACCTCTCCAGTCGCTCCTCTCACAACTCACCCCTCTGTCAGTCCTTACATTGGCATCCTGTATGCTATAGGAGTCAAATCAAAGTACCAATCCATATCTATAAAGCACTGAACAATTCTAGCCCCTCATATCTCTTCACTGACCCAAAGGTATGCCCCTTCTCGTTCTCTCCACTCTGCCCATGACGACCTTCTGTCCGCTGCTCGCACCCGTATGACCAACTCACGCATGCAGGACTTCTTGTGGGTGGCTCCTTTCTTTTGGAATAGCTTGCCTACCACCAGACTCTCCCGTAGTCTTCAATGGTTTAAGAAATGCCTTAAAACCTCTCTCTTCAGGAAAGGTTATGGCCTCCCAGAGTAAGCTCTACCTTACATACCTGCCCATTGCTCTCTCCTAAAGGGCAGCACTATACTCTCTCCTCCAGCTCTGCTTCGCTCCACCTTGTTTGATTGCTACCTAATGTCCTATTGTGTTTTATACCACAACTCCTCTTGACTGTAAGCTCGTTTGAGTAGGGTCCTCTTCAGCCTATTGTTCCTGTAATTTTTTTGTAATTGCCTCATTTGTTATTAAATCTCCCCCTCTAATATTGTAAAGCGCTAGGGAATATTTTGGAGTTATATAAATGCCAATAATGAATAATAAATAATAAGACCTACATTTTGGATCATCATCGGTATGTGATTTGTGCTAATTCACTAAACACTTGATATATATTTTGAGAGCTATTGGAAAGTAGGTATATTGTAATGGATATTACCACATGCTCGTAGAAGAAAAAAAACAAAACCCAAACATTGTGTTTATTACTTTTAATATAAAAATACAAGTTTACATTTCATGTAAAGGAAAAAAGGTGCCATGTTTGGTTTTACATTACATGATATATCAACCAAGAGCATTAAAAAATAAAAAAAATAAATTCATACATAACATCTGTAAAAGAAGATCTACACATATGTGCATCTAGTCTTACATAGTATTATTTGAAGTTAATAAATGAAAGCACTTGTCAATTTGACTTACCCCAAAATAATTAGTACATTATGAAAGGGATTAATGAAGGGAATTTAAACTCTGGTAACCCACATGTTGATGGTCTACAACTCCGAGAATTCAATGAATGAAATAAATGGCCAAAGAATCATGGGAGCTGTAATTCAGCAATATATTTGGGGGGTGAGATTTGAGATGCCTGGGTAAATGAATCCTAATATAACAAAAGTATTTCCTCCATTAGAGTAAAATATTGTACAGTTTCACAAGAAAAAAAAAATATTTAGGCTTCAAACAAAATGTGATTCCCCCCCCATTAATACAATTAAGTTAATATACACTTCTTGACCTGTACAGTAAGATGCTTACTGATGAACATGCATAAGCTTCCTCCCTCAACATCATATAAGCATGTTGTTCAATCTTAACCTGTTCAGACAGATGACGTGCCAAGAGTTCCAATACTAAGGAATTTCGCTCATCCCTTTGTCACTAAGAGGACTAATTAATTTGTATCTATACATTTACAACATTTTGGCTTGTACAAGGAACAGGTTAAAAATTTGTATGCTGTGCCACCATGTCAGTTTTAACAACATAGCTTCAGGGTTTTAGCTGTTCTTTGCATGTGTGAATGTATTGCACCAGAATTGCATAAATTTATCTGCAGGTTTACATAGATCATTTTTTTTCTCATTTAACATTTACTAAATGGTTCATTAACCATGATTTGGTTACCAAAAGGCATCAGGCATATGTCTGCCAAAAATTATGCAAGTGCTACCTATGATTATAGATTATAACTAAACTCAGAGTTCAAATATATAGTAAAATATAAGTAAACTGTACGTAAAAAGGAATAATCTTGCATTTCATAAACATTTCAAGTACATACATTTACGTCAGTTAATCACCCTGTAAGAAAATATTTAATCTCTTGATCCTGACACCCACCCCAAACAAAAATAACACAAAATTACAAAATACGATTACATTGTTTTTGATTAGTGATGTCTGAATACTAATTTAATTCTATAATACTGAAACTACATGATGGTCCATATACTAGCACATGTGAAAAAAGCTGATTAGCTGCATCTCCGAATTCGACCCTCCCATCTAATCTTCCAGGAATGTCTGGTCGAGTGTGAATATATTACATATGACAAGATATGGTCCAATAGTGTCCAAGTGTTATGACTTGGCAGTGGCCGTCAATGGCAAACCGTTACATTTATACATTTTACAAATGTGGCTAATGTGCATGTCTAGAATTTTTTTTACAAATAGCATATGAGGGCTCAGCTCTTCTCACCTACATTCTCAGGTGAATTAATTTATATTACAGTCTTGCTATTCACAAAAAAAAAAAAAGTAGCATTTTGGAATATGACTCTGTATCCAGCTCCCTTGTAACTAGGCACATAAAACTCAGAGGAGTTTCTTTTACCTCCCAAATATCATTAATCCTGCAAGATGTTCTAGAGAAGATGGAGAACAAGTGATCATCCCTCTTGCTTGTAAGTGTTTAGTGTGAGAGGTTTAGCAGACCTGGACAACATAGTATATCAACATATCGCTAGCTGTAAAATACTTTAGTATTTTAGTTTTAAGCATGTCTCCCTATCTTCCTCTTTACAATCTGAACTTCACAGTGAGCGAGGACCTGATTCAATAAAACTAAATGCATGAAGCATATATCACAATATAAAGAGGACTTATTTACAAGAAAAGTGTCTACAAAAAAATGTTAAAAGTGCAGAATTCCAGTGAAGTGTTTTACAACTTCTTTTTTAAATGTAAAACGTGTATGGCTGTAGTTTATAATGACTGTGCTCTACGCTCATAACAGGAGATTTTATATAGTGTGCTATTTACACTAAAAGTATCTTAGGAGAAATTTCCAGCTGTAAACTATAAAAAACACAGCTAGTGTTATGGCTTGCCAGAAAGAATCACAGCTACTTTTTGTATAGCCCTGGTTTACAACAGCAAGCACAACCTGCCTGGAGATGTGATAATTACCTTTTGGCACTGCGGATGTTGTGGACGGTTTCCCATGATGCTCAGTACTGGATTGTTGCATGAGCATTAATTGAGGCCTAGTATATAATGTTTACATTGGCTAGGCATTGCTGTAGTACAGCAGAGACCTTGGTAAATTTGCAAGGGTAAACATTTTTCTGTTTTAATTAGTCACGCATGTGCACCTTTCACTGGTAAATTATACAGAGTCAGGCACGGAAAAGCCCCAAACCACCATTGTACGTGGTCTGAAATGTGTTTAGAAATGGATCATTTTTATAAGATAAAAAAAATGCATTTAAATAATGCATTATTCAGTCAAGCGTAACATGCTAAATCTGGCTATTACACTGAATTGTACATATAGTAAAGATCTAAACTGATTCACTTAATATCACAAAATATAGTTTATGTAGAGGAGTTATCAGTAGATGTTGGAATACATTGCAAACTGTGCTTCACTAATCTTCAAGTAACATTATTAGTAGACGTATTGAGGGACTGGATAAAACCTGTTTCAGAATCCCCCACTTTTCAGCTTCAGTGTCTCCTACCCAAATGGAGGGCAATGACAAACTGGAGAGAAAGCTTAATCTGAGGCCAAATACCCATATGGGTCTCTGACTGGTATGACCAACTACAGTTCTGAAGAGGCGCTAGAGCGAAATGCTATTCCATTATGGAATACATGTAGATCAAAATGATTGAGAAAGTGATTGCCCCATCCAAGACTAGCCAGATTTGGCCTTAATGGTTAATTAGTATTATCAATGCTCTGAAATTGCCCAGCTCTTGTTCACTGCAACAGGCGACCGTCTACCAATGACATGTAGAATTAATGCAGGAATGTGGGTGAAGTCACTGAATTTTGAGGGACTTGCAGCGTTACAACCACCTTATAATGTAAGAATTAAGAGGCAGTATAATCACATGAAACAGGGTGAAATATTACAACATATTAAACAATTATACAATATGTACAGTCACAAAATTGGCAAATGTTTGCAATAACACTTAAATTTTGTTTTCACAACTTTCAGAGTAAAGTATACAAATGAAAAGAAACCTTCAACCTTCCTAAAACCAAAGTACTTCACTTACAATGTGTCCTTCCTAAGTAGTAAACACAGTGAACATCATTTTCACAGTTATCTATTGAAATTCCTCCTGGGTAACTACGGAAAATCTGAAATGACGTTTGATTGTCCAATTGTTTCCCCACGTAAAAGTTAGAGGATTACAGTCCTAATCGCCTCTTCTGCTGGAAATAGGCATCAAATCTTGCAGTGGCATACTCCTAATGAAAAGGAATAAGCAAAACATATGTATTAATAATCATAAAGAGGAACTCTTTCCCATCTCTCCACTAACAGCCTCTCACACAGGAAATGCCATGCAGAAGGAGGAAGGAAAGCACCGAGTGATGCACACTGTATAACAGTTCCTGCAGTTCTACTTTCAAATCATATCAGGGTGAGTACTTTTCAAATAGCTCTTCAACCTTCACTGCCTATACCCTCAAATCCCCTATCCCCACCAAGTCTTAAAGGAGCACTAAAGGGTCAGGAACACAAACATGTATTCCTGACCCTATAGGGTTAAAACAACCCTCTGGAGCCACCCTGAACCCCATATGCCTCCCTAAAAATAGTAAAATCCTACTTGTATTCAAGCCTGAAGCTGCTGGCTTTGTCACTGTTTCTTTTAGACCTGCCCACTGCCTGATGACATGAAAATACAGTGTTTCCAGCAAAAAGACTGAAGGTAATGATTCTACTCACCAGAACAAATTCAATAAGCTGTAGTAGTTCTGGAGACTATAGTGTTCCTTTAATTTAACGCTTTCCTTAGTCCCAAATGTCTGAGTGCTTACTCAAAGTCTAAAACAACCCACGTTAACTTAATCCTAGGTTTAGTTCTGCCTAATAAGTAAACACCCCATGTAATCTACTAGTAAGTTTACCACTCTACCCCTAGACCCATTCATTCTAAACACCCATTATACCACAACTGTAAGCCATCTCATGCTTTAAATCCTCTAAACCCTCTATGTAATGTGACATTAACTCCTTTCTAACATTAACCATCCATTTACACTAATCATTTTTAACATTTTTATTTAACACTACATGCATTTTCACAGCTGCATACACAATACAAGTACAAATATGCAAATACATGTATAGTTGCCAGATTTGAATATACATGTTTGTTTTTTAATGCCTGCAATGTTCACTTAATACATTAAATCCAGTGTTGCCTACACAAGATGCTTACCCACTCATCCATTGGTATTTGTTCCTACATCAAAACTCACGGCTGACAAAATTAGCTTTTTTGAATTGTAAAAGATGGAAGCTTTAAGTAGGCTGTCGGTAACTTCCAGAGCCATATGTGCTTACAAGTCCAAGCTGTAACCATTCCACAGTCTCTGTACATTGGTTTCATCAGAGAAGTATCTGATAGAATTGTGTACCACAACTAAGGACACATCTAAGTTTTTTTTGTTTCCACCTGAAAGTATCTGAAAAGTTGTTCTCAGTTACTTGAATTTTCACACGAATACAAGTACTCACCATATAGCCAAACTCAATAGAAGATATTTTAGCTTGAACAATGGACCAAAGACCCCAGAAAAAATGGGATGCAAGAGCGAACCTATAAAAATAAAATAAAAAAAAATAGATGTATATTGGTGTATGCCTTAAAGACTATTTTTCCCATACATATTTAATTAAAGTAGTTATTGAATAAGACCTTTAAATTTGTAGTAAAAGTTATGTCTTTTTGCAACATCTGATTTCCTACTATTCAGTATGCTCTCTGAAGAACAATAAATTATATAAATTGGTTAATCTGCAAATAACATGAGCCTTGGTAATACATAATCTACTTTATAAAGCACCAACACATTCCACAGTGCTGTCCATGGGTACAATTAAAAAGAAAAGGATACAACAGAGCTACTTGCAATATTTGACAAACAAATGCAGGAGGAGTTAAGGTCCCTATTTCCATTGGAACTTACACTCTAGATATGCCCCTTCACACCAGTACTGTAGATATAAACGTGTTTATTCAATACACTAGTGAACTAAGGGCTTCTTTCACTTGAGGAAGGAACTCTATAGTAATTCAAAATACTTAATAAAAAATATTTTAGATTCAATACAAATTGTGTGATATACATATGCCGACATATACCTATTTTTGGACCAGATAAGTAACTATTTGCCATGATGCTGGCTGAGTATCATGGAAAATGTAGTTTACAAACTTCTGGGGTGCAAAGATTAGCCATCACTGGTCAAGAAAATAGTTCAACATGAATAAAGTTCTGGACATGATGGATTACAAGCGATAAGCAAACTTGGAGTTGCTTACGGATTTCATAAATACCTTCACAAAGAAAAAAGTTTTCTGATTTCATATACATAAAAATGAATCTTCCATTTTGAAATTAAAACTTGCTTGAAAGAATAAAATAAAATCGAATATGTTACAAGTTTAACATAATTACTTTACAATTAAAGATATTATTGACCAATCCAGGGCTGCCATCAGGGGGTGTCAACTATGATGGTTGTCACAGGCCCGGCGGCCCTGGGGACCCGGACCCCATGTGTAGCGGCAAAACTGCTGATAGGGCCCACCAGGTGGCCCAAGCATTTAGGGCCACCCGATGGGCCCTATATCTTCAGGGGCCAGTCAGCACTGAGGCCGTGTAATAGTGCAACCGGGCCCCTTTAAAAATGCCAGCAGCCGCAAATACTGCTGGGAGAAAGTGAGGGCCAGTTGATTCCTCCCAGCTTACTATGCGCGGGAAGGAGGAGGCAGAATTGAGACTGCAAGGAGGGGAGAGGCAGCTAACTCCCATCAGCCACAGCCACCCTCCTGCACTGAAAAGGTAAGAAACAGGAGGGTGGGTGAGAAATGAGATGTATGTATGCCATATGTGTGTGTGTGTGCATGTATGTCCGTATACCAGTATGTATGTGTGTGTATGTATATATGTCTATGTGTTTCAGTATGTGTGTCTGTTAGTATGTATTTGTATCAGTGTGGGTGTCTGTGTGTATTCTGTGTCAATGTTTGAGGGTGTGTGTGTGTATATATATATATATATATATATATATATATATATATTATACATATTATACATATTATACATATTATACATATTATACATACATACACACATACACACACAAACCCACACTGTGCATCCACTACACATGCACTAACACACACTGCAGCCAATATACAAACCCACACTGCATCCACAAAACACGTTTGATATGAGATATTTCTACTATGAGAAATTATTTCTACAAAAAAATAAAAATAAAATGTGTATTTTGTCTGGTACAAAAAGTATTTACCTGTTCACTTCAGTGAGCATTTCATTCTCGATTTTGCTCCTCTCTTCATTACTGAGGTTTTCATACCCTGGCTGACACTCTGTCATGTAGCTGGAGATGAAGTGAATCTGAAAAAATGATGTAAATATCAACCTGCAGTTTGCAAATACACAGCTTACACGTAAACGGTTTAATGTAAGTAGATAAAAGGGATTATTAGACTTCAATGCCTTGCATAAAAGCATTCAACATCCACGATTACAACGACATTGTATGCTACATAATTTGGTAAAGCTGAAGAGTATGCACAACTAATTGGCATGCATGCCTTTGTTTGTTTGTGTTTACATAGTAATTACATAGCTGAAAAGAGACTTGCATCCATCAAGTTCAGCCTCTCACGTATGTTTTTTTGTTGATGCAAAGAAAGTGCTTTCAATTTTGCAACAAACTAGGAAAAGAAATTCCTTCTTGACCCCAAAATGACAGTCTGATGTCTCCTTAGATCAAGCAGCTATTACCCCACTAATTAGAAATTATATCCCTGTATGTTATGTTTTAACTGTTTAAAGAAACACTAGTCACCTAGACCAGTTCAATGAAGTAGTTTGGGTGCAGTGGCCCTGTCCTTTTAACTCTGTCATGTAAAACATTGCCGTTTTTGTTTTTTTTATTGAAAATCCCAATATTTACACTGCAGGGTTACATATTGACAGTCATTAGAGACGCTTCCGCTGCACTGATCGAGTAAAACTGTCACATGACACGGAAGTCCATAGAAAAGCACTGAATACAATTCTTTCCTATGGGGAAGCTTGAATGCATGAATGGCATTGCACTTGCCGCATCATGTCCCCGATGCTCCATAAGGAGCACTGGAATGGACCATCAAAGAGGAGGCCATGCTTCCTCAAAGATGTTGCAGGAGGCAGAGGTGAGCAGCGCCAATTGTATTACATTTTATGGCAAATGGTGGGGAATAAAGACCACATTTCTAATATAGTGCTAGGAAAAGAGGCACTATATTGTTAGGAATATACTCTTTTATTCCTAGTGCCATAGTGTTCCTTTAAACATCTCTTATGGCCTAGCTATCCTGCATACCTTGAACACAGGAAGAGGTTTTGTGAAGTGTGGATATATGACAAAGGGGGTGGTGTTTTGAGTAGCACAACAAGTGATTGTAATAGGGACGAAAATCTGACAGCCTCCATTTTGTTCTCTGTACAATGCCTGATGTGCTCTCCTGAGATTATTTTGACTAGTGAACAGTGGGTAAACTAGCTTCTAACCTGCAATGGAAATTCAAATAATCTACACCCATGGACAAAGATCACACTCATTTATTCAAATTTTTTAATTTTTGTATTATAACTAAAAATTTGAAAAACAACAAGAAGCAGGACAAAAAAAAAAGGGTTACTTTCAAAAACCAAAACCTGCAAAGTGGCAAGTGACAGTACCACTGTACGTTGTCCTCAATGTTTTTCTTTAAGTGTAGGAAACACTGAGGCAGTGACTGTGTGTCAAGCAAATTCTGTAAGACAAATACACCTCAAGCCAAGCAACAAGCACAAGGTAGCCAACACAATGGATCTACATTTAAAACCACAAACTGATAAGGGCTACAAATGGTTATTGCGTGGAAAAAGTTCTATATTCCGAAGAAGTTATGGTATATGTGCATTTACCTGCTGCTTTCTTGTAGGGTAGTTTGAAAAGCTGGCCTTGAAGAAGGGAAATTTCTCATAGGTGTAGTCATACATCCATTCACAGAAATGGTTCCCAATGTCAAATCCCCTGGAAGACAAAATACAAGTTTCACCTTGGCGGTAGATTATATATTTTAAATGTGAACCTTTTTTTGTGACACACAATAATTTAAAATGGAAGTTTTACAGAAATTTGAAAAGCAGCTCATATGGCGATAAAGTATGCCAACCTTATTTAACTGCTTAAGCCCTCACGGCATATTTTGGTTTAATTTTTGCACTGAAAACATTTCAGTTAAGACCTGGAGCATTTCCAACAAAAATGCATCTCATAAAATGCTTGATCTATCCGCATTGCAAGTACAAAACAAAAAAAACTTTAAAACAGTGCTCCAAATGCCAAAAAACATTTAGAATTCCAAAATTGCTGGCCACAGTAGAGGTATGAAATAGCATGTGTTTTTCTATACAAGACATATTTCCTTAAGCAAAAAATGAGCCAGTGATGCAAAAATGTATACACCTTTCCACCTTTAGGAAAGAACATGGGCTTCGTTAAAGCCCATGTGATTTATACGTTAGCTCAACAGAACTGAATCATTATTGTGAGAAGTGATACGAAAACTGAATCACGCGCACCAGAGCTCATAAGCAGGATAGCAAGCTTATGCAAATGTCCCCGTGTTAGCTCCTCTGCTGGTATCACAAAGCTGTGACAGACTGTAATCCTTTTTCCATGACACATGTGCCAGACTGTAATCTGATACATTTACTCAGTACGCATTATGAAAATTTGCATACTGCTTTTACAGGCTAAACACTGGATTATGTTGACCTTTATCTGCCATCAAAATCAGTTTCTAGAACCAAGATCTAGATCACCGAAGGAACCATAAAGATATTGAAGAGTGGTTCCCAGTTATTCAGAAGAAAAACCTTAAAGGAACACTATAGTCACCAAAACAACTTTAGCTTAATGAAGCAGTTTTGATGTATAGATCATGCCCCTGCGTTCTCACTGCTCAATTCTCTGCCATCTAGGAGTTAGAGCACTTTGTTTATGAACTCTAGTCACACCTCCCTGCATGTGACTTGCATAGCCTTCCTAAATACTTCCTGTAAAGAGTCAGTTTATCCTTCCTTTATTTCAAGTTCTGTTTAATTTAGATTTTCTTATCACCTGCCATGTTAAAGGATCACTATAGGGACAGGAACACAAACATGTATTCCTGACCCTATAGTGTTAACACCATCTAGCCTCCATAAATATAGCAACATCTTACTGTATTCAAGCCTGAAGCTGTAGATCTGCATGCTGTTTGCCTCAACAACAAAAAAACAAGCAGTCTGCTGGCATCAGCAGAAGTGGTAGCCTGATCCAATCACAGTGCTTCCCCATAGGATTGGCGGAGACTGACAAGGAAGCAGATCAGGAGCAGAGCCAGCATGATTCAAACACAGCCCTGGCCAATCAGCATCTCCTCCGAGATTAATTGAATCAATGAATCTCTATGAGGAACGTTCAGTGTCTGCATGCAGTGGGAGGAGATACTGAATGTTTGGATGCATTTTAGGCAGCCATGACCCAGGAAGGATCTCTAACAGCCATCTGAGGAGTGGCCAGTGAAGTTATCACTAGGCTGTAATGTAAACACTGCATTTTCTCAGAAAAGTCAGTGTTTACAGCAAAAAGCCTAAAGGTAGTGATTCTACTCACCAGAACAAATTCAATAAGCTGTAGTTGTCCTGGTGACTATAGTGTCCCTTTAATAGCTTGCTAGACCCTGCAAGAGCCTCTTGTATGTGATTAAAGTTCAATATACAGAGAAAGAGATCCAATTGTTTAAGGTAGATTACATCTGATTGAAAGTGAAACCAGTTTTTTCATGCAGGCTGTGTCAGAGCCAGGGTGTGACAAGGGCTACATAAACAGAAACAAAGTGATTTAACTCCTAAATGGCAGAGAATCGAGAAGTGAAACTTGAGAAGCATGATCTATACACTAAAACTGCTTCATTAAGCTAAAAGTTGTTTAGGTGACTATAATGTTCCTTTAATTCCAAGCATCATGGGAGTTGTTCAGTGGGGTCTGCCTTATGGACAACCCTGGATTAGAGTGATCCCTTAACACAGTATCATTGCCGGTCCTTGGGGTGTGACCTGAGAACCTAAACCATAGAACAGGGTTCCCCAACTCTGCCCTTGAGATCCACAATCCTGTTATTGTTTTGGAATCGCTCCAGCATATAATCGATACACATAGCAAATCACTGACAAAATGTCCTATGTTTAATCCCATAAAACGGTTGCATCTCAAGCCCTTTGAGTCCGTTACAACGAACATCATGCACATATATAGTTATGAGTGTTTGCTTAAAAAAAAGTTGCTGAACAGGTTTTATTACCATGTGACAAACATGCATTTCTATGTTTACACTATAATCTTGCAAAATAGTGCATGAACATGATTCACAACTGGTCTTGCAAGCACAGCTTTTTCTAAAGGCTTGAGGTCGTATAGATGAGTGTATACATTACAGCTCCCGCTGCAGCCACACTGAAGGAATAACTGCTCATGCTGACAGCGAGTTCTTCCGACCAGATTATATACCATGTCCTGACATGAACTATACAAAGTTCCCTGCCTTAATGTACCCGATATTGCCATGTGATCACTATTCATATAACAAGTTGTGCCATTTCATGTTTTTTGTAATTTAATCTGCGACACTTACTCAAACTATTAACATAAGGAGTATCTTAATTTACAGTCCAATGTATTTAAAAGAGCACTTCAAACACAGTAAACACTACAACACGTGCAAGGATTGCCTCGAGGCACCCCCAATGTAAGTAGTCAAGCTCCTAGCAGGAGTCTGTGACTCAATGCTGGAAGTGGCTAATGCCCAGACCACGGATAGGAGATCAAACCATTAGCAAACTGTTACTACTACTTACATTGGATAGGTGGTGTGTTTAACCAATGAGCTGGCCCTGCAATTCAGAGTTTAATACATGAGAGCAGGCTCTAGTTTAGTTGTTAAACTGTTAGCAAATATTATGACTACTTGCGCTTGAGAACCACCAGGGCACTACTGGCACCATAACCACTACATCACACCATAGTGGCTATGGTACTCAGAGTGTTCCTTTTAAATTCTGTACTACAGCCCACATGTAACAAAGCTTATATTGTAGTGCTTACCTGTAATTGTAGCTGCTGTATTCAAAGTCTATGAGCATGAGACTCTGCTTCTCAGAATTTTCACTCTCATTCAAGAGGAGGATATTGCCTGAAAAATTATAGGTTACAAACAAAATGTATTCTTTAAGAGTGCATCCAGCTAGATTTGGGCATCATTATTACACTGCAAATTTGTCCCTTTCTGCCAATTCTCAATACAAAAACCAACTGTCTCTCTCCATTTTCTCCTTATAAGACATGCACAGCTGATGAGCTACAGTCAAACATGCAGTTATCCTCCGGAAATGCAACATTCTATTCTACACTCTTTTTCCAGGTTATGCTTTTAAATTAAGTGAATTTCACATTGTAGTCTGCTATAAATTACCTGAAAACAAAGATAACTTTGTGAATTTTTCCAATTGTGCTATTGTGGCCCAACTTTGAATTTTTAAATTTGTGAATAATTCTGTAACATTACCATCCAAAAGCATCTTAGCTACTTGTATCATAAAGAAAACAGGGCCTGATTTTATTATAAGTAAACTGTCCCAAGAATAAAAAACTGTTTTGTTGCTATTGTGGGTTTCATTGATGAGTTTTTTATGCTTAATACACAAATTACTTTGGTTTAAAAAGTAATTTAAATCAATATGTCTTTAATTTTAATTAAAGGCCATCCAAAGCCAGAAGATGTACTTTCGTATTACTTGTTCAGTTTTTCCAAACTAAGGAAAATAAGATCCATATGCAAGAGTCCCATGTGGGATTCTCTGACTGGTTCAAGCTAGGTCGAATTCCTTGCATATTTAAACACTTAAAACATGTCAGTGTGGAGTCTGGTTTTCAGTGTTCAGATGTATCCAGCTTCCATGCTTACCTTCTTGACAATCATTGTGACAAAACACGACAGGAGAAGAAGTAGCCTCCAGCAATGACCTACAAGATCATGTATTGTCATTAAAACCTCTTAAAGCTAAGCATTTTTCACATGTTCTACATTAATGATAATTTTTAGAACTCTTTAGTGCACATTTCAATACATCTAGGAAATTAAGAATTTTAAAAAACATATTGAGAACGTAATAGTATTGTGATTCACTGCTCAAACCATCCTCCCTCACAAAAACAGCTATGTAGTATTTGTGCATTGTCCTAAAGTAGTACAGTCATGTTTGTTTTCCCTTGCATAATAATATAATATGCCTCCAGCAACAGGCATGTATTTCCATCTATTATGTTTTCTTCCTTGCACTGGATCTCAATATCAAGGTGCCACTAAATTAAAGCAGCACTCCATTTTCGTTGCGAAGCTAAAGGGACACACTGGATCCATAAAGCACTTTCGCTTCTCTGAACTACTTTATATGTGCCGCATCGCCACCCCTTCCTCTCTGACGCAGATAAACGTCTCAAGCAAACACAGTGAACCGAGGGCAATCCCACCCATATGTGATGACTTCAGCAGTGTTCTGTTTAAGGGCAAATCTGAATAGGTCTGGCAAATTCAGACAATCTTGAAATGTCATCAGCGACACACTGCATGTCTGATATGCCCCCTACTGCTCTGCTACCTCCTCTCCTGTTTTCCTTTGTTGGGAGGTGTGTGCACTCCGAATGCTACAGATTATAATTCCAGTATTGCAAGTTAAAGTCCTCATCATCCCCAGTGTCCACAAGGAATAGTGAATATATCTGTGTACCTTCAAGCTCTATTGGCATGAGGTTAAAGTGAGTGGTTTAAAGCTTACATTCAACATGAATAAAGGTAGAATCTTGGGTTGATGAATCCATCCCTCTTTATTGAAAAATGATTGTGGAGGAATGTAATATACCCTTACCACCTTCAAATAAAGTAATGAATTTGCAAAATATGACTGGCATAGATGATCATTTGAAACTACCTGCTGTAATCTGTGAATTTAGTACATCAACAACCTACATTATACATTGCAATTAGTTCTCTAACATAATCACTGACCTTAGATTTGCCATTTCCTTGGGGAGATTGGAGCTTAAACATTTATTCAGTTTGCGGGCATGCGATTCCTTGGTGAATTTAATTTTCAATACCTGCTTCAGGTACCTACAAGAAACAGCAATAAACACATGTAGAAGGCTATGTCCAAAGTATTTAAATAATAAAGCATTTATCAAGATGTTCATGTTGTTATGTTCAAAATGTCTGCAGTTTATACTCTTCTCTAGAAACCAACCTAGGGAAAACCTAATAGGTGGTAGAAGTGGTACAGAATTGTAAAACCCACCTCTTTAATGAGAATGTGGCAGGGGAGTGGAGGGCCAGGTAAGCAGTGACAGTTTCCCTTTAAGGTATATGGAAGATCCTGCAAGATTGGGGGATATGCCACAGATAATGCAGCCTTGTACAATAAGATTGTAAAGGCATCTATTAATGATACCACATGATGATTCCTCTTCCTATCAGTCACTGTTTGATGGGAAATGGCAAGATTTGGCAATGGGCGGAGAGTCCATTGCCACAGGTCAGCACTACTTGTCCCTACTTTGTTTTGTTTTATGTATCTTGATTACACTGGAATTTCAGAGGGCTGTATCAACAATAACTTTTCATAAAGAATATATCCTTATGAAGAGCTCAGAATTGACAGAACAGCTTTAAACGATCTTGGCACTACTTGAGTGATTGTGAGGGACTGGAGAAACAGTATAGCTTCAGCCCCACGATAGGGAATTCTTTTTGGTGTGCTCAGTTTTCTGCAGGAAGTAATATATCATTCTAAAAGGCCAAAAGTGCACATGACATCAGTCTGGGTTCAGGAATACTTAAGACTCTCCAAGTTGCATACTTAATCTTTTAATTTCCTGTTCATCAGCTCCCTCCAGTAATTATTCTTTTTTGTTTCTTAACGCGGTCCTGTGCTGATAGAAGCATTCAGCACACCTTAAGGATTGCAAACCTCTCATACAAGGATTACATGTTCGCATTTGGCTTGATATTCAATTACTTTCAGTTAAAAACTTTATCGCTTGCATGTTTTTTTGATGGTTTTGTCTTTGCCAGCTGCTGAATTAAGAAAAGGTATGTTCTCATATAATGTGTACAAGCAGACGGTAAACCAAATGCTACCAGTCTCATGCGCAATGTCAGAGAAACCTAGGCATAGCTTTTGCCAATATAATGGTCTCTGTGTGCTGGAATAGCACATGTTCCATGGAGCCACCCTTACGAAGCTATACAAGTATTAATCTACTAACATGAATTGCATCTGATAGATACAAATAAAATGAAAAATAATGTCATTTCATAAAACAAGCTAGCTGGGAAAATAAACTTATACTTCTAAACCTACTTCTCCATTGTCCCAAAAAGCCACTTGGGCTCCTTATTGAATGGCATGCTCATGCCATGAAAGCGGGCCATTTTCTCAGCTATTTCAGCAGATAAGTCTGGGAAGCGCAGTTCTTCTGTCTCCAGCTTTCGACTCTAAGAAACAAGAAAAACATGACAGCATATTCTATTAGCAGATGAACGACTGTTTGTATAAAGTCTATATATAGGCTTATGGGAAGTGTTGTACATTTATGAACCATGACTGATATTAAATGGAAAAAAAATATATATATGAATCCACTGTTCAGTGAACTGTGGTGAACTGAAAATGAAACTGCAAGTTTGAAGTAAAAAAAGATGAACAATGGAAATGGTGACATTGGATTTCTTTGCCTCAGCTATGCTACAATTGTGTCCAAGTTTTGCAACTCCTCTGCCAATGCACCATTTAGTAAATACATTTCTATGAATTACACTAGTTGTCAAAAACTCCCAGAAAAGAAAGGAAAATGATTATTAAAGCGGCACTGTCATGCCACACTAACTATTCTCCTATTGTTTCATCTTTTCTTCCTCTCTAAGAACCTGCTTTCTTTTCTTTATTTCTGATCTAGTTTTCTTTAAAAACATAAGACAAAGTAAGAACTACTTTGTCTTATGCATTTTCCTACACTGTACTTTCTTTGAGCAAAGAAGGAGCTTAAGTCTGCTCTATTTCTGGTGTCAAGGAGGAGGGTGAGTACTTTCCCTGACACAGGAGGAGCTTAAGTTGGTTCCATTTCCTGTATCAGGGAAAGTACTCGCCCTCCTCCTTGACACAGGAAACAAAACAGACTTAAGCTCCTCCTAAGTTCGCCGTGACAGTGCCGCTTTAAGCACCATCGCATCCCACATTATAATACAAGGGGAAAGATTTGTGCTAGTAGGGACACAACTTCTAAAAACGGTCTACTGAGCCATTTTTTTTGCAAAGGATGACTACAAATTTTACCTAATTACCCATTAGACCTTAAAGTTATTTTGCAAAATAAATAAGACCATGGAGAAAGAATTCACAAGCCATAAAGATCGCCAAATTAATGGTCTTAAATTCAAGAGTCCCATTTGTTACATAAACTTATCTTTTTAGAACACTAGATATTATAATTTTTCATGAGACTTCATGACTTCCTTTAAAGTTACAACTACAGGTAGTGTTGATTTACAAGCTTTTGCACCCAACTAAATCCCTGTATCTCATCCTGACAGAGGTCATATTTTACTCTAAAAGGTGTAATAATTAGCTAGCCTTGTTACATAACATCTTATTTACTGCTCCGTTTTGGCCCACACTACACAAGCAAACAAAACGCTCAGCCAGAGTTTGCATTATTTGTGCCAACCTATTCATAGTTATGCCAATATCTTACCGGAATGTACTGCTCCAAACGCCCTCGTGGGAAAATCCCGTACAACTTGGGACCCAAGGATCGCTCTGCCAATATTGCAAACATTACACTTTCCATTACCATAGCCTCTGCACCCTGCAGGGAAACAAACAAAAAAATCATGCGGTGTAATACTTTAAACTATTTGCTTCCAAAAAAACTGTGATGAGTCACTTTTTGTATTTGGTTGCATTCTTCCTTTGCCTGGATCAAAAGAGTGGAGCAGACAACTAACACTACAGCAGTGATGGCTCACCTTGGTATTGAAGATGGCTGTGAACTACAGTCTTCAGGCTAATATATAACATTTTATTAATATTAGATCATGATTATTGATTTAAATTATGTCCCCCTTTTTTCAAGTTAAAAATAAATTAAAAAACTCAATTAAACAAACTAATACAATTCAGGAGAGTCTCCTCTTTGTATCTCTGCAGCTGCTCTGCCTTTTCTGAGATCATGATTGCGGAGCTCAAATCAATGCTTCTCATACAGACGTATTGTGCCCTAAGTTCATGCAAAGTAAACTCCACAATCTGCCAATCAGATTCTAAGAGAGGCAAGAATCCACTGCTTCTCTGTGAGAGGCATTAGACGTGTTCTGCATTATGTTGTGCGTGATGATGCCATATGAGAAGACCTTCGATTTTGAATGGTCTTCATGACAAATTGCTTTAGTGATTGTCCTTGTGACAGCCAGAGGCATGTTCTATGGCACTTGTAAACACCAATTTTTCTCTAAAATGGCTCAGTTCTATTGCCATTAAGAGGTAGTGGCTTTGGTGCTTTGATTGTCCCTTTAAATTTCTTATAACACGCAGGTAGCTTTTTAAATGTAGATAAAGAATGTTCCCTAGACTCTGCCCAATACTTATTGCAAGCACATACATTCCGACTGAAATAACAGAGTATGTTGAAATAACAAAGCATGTTGAAATCATGAGTAGTACAAAGGACAAACAGTATATTAAAGGTGCTTCCTGACTGTGAAAAAACAATAACTGTACATCAGTTCATACATTGAGCACAGATTATGCACAACTGTATCCACAGGGGTTAATTACAATGATCACAGCCACTTATCAGACTTCTGTTGGTTCAGCTAATTGCTTATCTGCATAAAAAAAAACCAAAAAAAAAAAAACCACTACATGAAGCGGATTGTCAACATCAATTGATCTCTGAATCCAAATTATTCACATTGTAGATTATTAATGGTTAACTTTCATATCAATATGAGCAATGTCCTTCAACGTAAACATCACGTGAGCTTGCAGTAAATCACCAACTGCAGTGAATCACTTAGTTCAGTTCCACATTACAAATAATTGCAAGCCACACCTCTATGGTTAATTTATGAAGTTCCAGTGATTTTCCACCAAGCAGATTACAGTTCTAAATATTCACCTATGCTTCTGGACGTATTCTACCCTCAGCAGCCAAACAGCAAAATGCAAATTACCCTTAGCACAACGGTACACTGGTGCCAAGATTTATCATACTTCCCTTACCAAAAAGTTATTGAACCCATGTGAATTCTAGTCAAGTGATCAACCTACTTCGTTTTTATTTGTCATATACCAAACATTCATTGTGATTTCATGACATTTATTTTAGCGGATATACTAGGAATGTTGAGTATGACTACTACAGAAACTTGGAACATTAGTACGAATGCTTTAACGTTCAGCCAAGACCCAGTGACCAGCATTTGAGGAAAACTGGGTGCTAGGTGAATGATTATTGGATTTGGCTTTCCGGTGCAGTTTTTGAGATAGTGTTCCTTAAAGGACGTTCTCTATATAAGGAATGCAATTTAATCTATATTTTGACCTAGCCAAGCTGCTAAGAATAATTTTTTTGCCGCTGGCATAGAGGTACAAGCGAATCTCCTCTAATTTTAAATGGCAAAAGAATTCCCATTTAATTCTATGGAGTGAAATAATGGGGCCTTTAGGATATTCAAACCAACTGTTTGCCAGTATGGAACTGAAAATGTAAATTAGAAGAGAATTTTAAAAAAAACAAAAAACACAATTCTTACATTTAGACGAATTGATTTCTGAACACGACGCGTCTCTTTTCAGCCTAAGTAACTATGCAACATTTTGATAGTTTCACCACAATTAAGCACAAGTTATTCTCTTATCTACGGACTACTGAATACATCTGGAAACCCTAGAAAATGTGCATTAAAGGGTTTCTTCAGCCTCCATGACCACTCCTGCTTTAATAAACCTTGTCACGTAGCAAGCAATCTGTGTGCACAGCGTTACTCACTTGAAACACTGCCTACACAAGGTACACTTTTGTGCCAGAGTCTAGTAGCACCTCCGGCACATGTGATTTAAGAACCCTGAGCTCTGCTCTAGACTGCCTAATATTAGTTCTGTGCAAAAATTACATCTGACTACATGCTGGCAACAGGCAAAATTAGTTTATTCACTTGCAAGTAGAAGCCGTTGGGACTGTGTGCTCGTGACTCAATGTAACGCTCATCCTTACCCAGTAACAGCCCTATCGTACACCAATTTCTTTCCCTCCCTACATACATTCTAAAATGCTCCCCCCATCCCCTTGTCCACCCTTTGGCAAGCCCACACTCCCTATGTTCAATACTTTAGATAGGAAATAATTAGATTCAATGCTTTTCTATGAAAAAAAAAGCTGTTGCTGGTGCATTCCCAGTACTTTTCACACATGCACCTAAGGTCATTCAATGCTTCTATGAGAAGCACTTGATTGGACCAAGACCCAAGAAGTATGACATTGCATGATGACAAAACAGGAGCGGAAATGATCAAGGAGAGCGTGGCCTGGTGTTGGATTCATAAATGTTACTTTTTTTGCACTTTTTTTTAAGAATATTCAATCAAAAAACAGGGGAAGCTAAAGATGGATGCTTATTATGACTTACTATTGAAACAAATTGAGTAAAAAGAGTTAATAGAGTAACCCTTTAAGATATAACAAGTGGGCAATGAATCTGGGCAAAAAAAGAGGACTATCCCTCCTAAACAGACATTTGGGAGATGTGATGTGTAAAACAATATGATGAATGTAACGGGTAAACGTGGATACCAAGCATTATGGAATCAAGGGACCGTAGATCTGTGCATAATCTTACATTTGTCACAGAGGCTATTTTAAATAAGGCTAGACAAATTTCCTAGTTGGTGTAGCCATACATTTGCTGACGTTTAGAACTATCTACAGAATAGCTCTGAATACCTAATTGAGAGACATATAATCTGAATTAGAGATTGAGCACTTTAATCTCTGCACCGTGCCCTTTTACAACAGTATATGTCTGTTAAATGACTGTTTCTAAAAGCTATTACTAAAGCAATTGTGAAGCAAACTTGGCAATGTTAATAGGCAGGATGTTCCTCTTTCCTACTGAGGCTATTTTAGCATTGTTATTCCTTCTCTACTGTATCCACTTTACAGTGCACATTCATTATTAAATCATTAGCATGTGACAGTATATCACATGACAGTATTGCAACTTGCTTCTTGACTTCCTTGTTTTAGGCATTGTAGCAGACGCCACTTACAAATAGAACTGGAATTATCAAAATTACGCAAGAAGTAATCCTAGAACAGTTTTTCCGGCTAAATACCCAAGTATTATTTTAAGCTAGTGTTGTCTTCTTCCTACATAACACCATTAACCTTTGATACTAAGAAGATATTCTAATGCTCAACGCCTTGGGAGAGGAATTTGCCAAAAGTCAAAAAAGATAGATGTCCCATTGAAAGACACCCATACACTGCTTGTGCCAATAATCGTCTTAATTTAATATATTTTGTGAGTTTTCATTTATTTAGGAGGATGCGTTAACAGGATATTAGGGTTTTGTCTGCTAATACACACTTATAAACAGAAAACAATTACTAAATGTTGAAAATAATCCCAGCAGGAAAATAACCAGAAATGTATTGTCCAATAAATCGTAATCAAAGTACGCAGGTACTTACTTGAAAGAAATTTTCCCTTTGGGTTTCTTGGTTATCCCCTTTATTGCAAGACATCTAATCAGAACATACAAAACAGATCTGTTAAATTATTGAAATGCATTTTAATAACAAATACAGGTTTCATAACAACGCTCTTTACCCCACTCACCCGTCCAAGTGTACACGCTGAAGTCTAGTGGTATGAATATCTGTTCTACAACGTAAAATACTTTTTTTGACTAAATCTTCTGCGTAATAGATTATATTTAAAGTTAATAACCTCAATTTTTGGAATTTACAAGTGCAAACTTGAACACTTGGACCAGATATTTGTGTTGAAGCAGAGAATAAGAAGAAGGTGAATGCTTGTGGTAACAGGACAAAGAACACTAAATATGAATCATTCAGTAAGTTAAAACGTTATGCCTTTTCACATTTTGCTTTTACAAAAAGTAAAATGGCTGTTTAAATGAAAGCCCAGTACCAAAGTTCTAATCCCATCTGGGAAGAAAAAACAAAAACGAAAAAAAATAAAATAAATAAATTTGGGGATAAAAAGGTATTTTTTATTCACGCTTATAGATAATGTTGCAATGCATGCTTAGGTGAAATATGCAGCAGAGGAAAGTAAAATAGCAAATTATGGGTAAGCATAATAGGGACTCTGTAGAAAGAAAAAATAGATCATTCTCACTCAAGTTGGTTGTCTAATTAAATGTGGAACACTTATTTTACATGGTTCTGTTGATCCCATAGAGTCATGTGGTGCAGGAGTACTTTGCTGTACTACAGATGCCTTCTGGAATTACCTTTAGCATGCAACAGAAAATGGAGGTTGACCAAGTTATACACTTTTTAATTGATGGGCAAGAAGTTAAAATATTGTATGCCAGGACACTACAAATCATAACTTTTGGAAAATCCAACGAAGACTGAAGAGCACTAAAGTGGAAAATGTGGGTACATCTCTAAAGTCAGTAAGTGTTAAATAAAATGTTTCTATGAAGACTCACCATGCTGCTGGTGAAAAAATAGTTCTATAGTGGTTATAGTGCTTGAAATGAAATGAGAACCTTATTCATACTTCTAAATTTTATTCGCACCTTAGGCTTGCTTCTTTGTGACCTCTTTGAGTACATCGTCATCAAGGTTGTTGTTTTTTTTTTTTTTTAACAAATGTACTAATTCCTTTGACGTTTTGAGTCTGGATTTAAGTCTCACTGGTTCAGAGTATTTTGATTCTCAAAACCTGCTGCAAACCTATTAACACACCTCAAAACAAGTCTGTCCTGTTGCAGAGCTAAAACATTTTTACATTGGCTGGCACTTTGTTAAACCTGGATTCAAATAAAGATAGTCCAGACAAATTTGTCAAAGGTTGGTCTATCATAGTGCTTTTATACTGTCTGATGTCTCCTTACCTGGGTAAACTTTGGGACTTTCCCTTGCTTGCAATGCAGTGATAGCAGTGCCATAAAAGGGGTCACCTCACACTATTTACACATTGGATGTGGCCATACTTAATGTGACTCACTCACTTCCTGCATGTCACTTCAATGTTCATTTGATCTGTACTTTATATATTAGAGTGAACTGCAAGTGTTATACCTGAAATGCCTCCTAATGTTGATGTATCCATCTATATTGTCTTGCCTACCACCACAGATATGGTCAGCTTTGTGCACATATAACCCAGTATGAGAGGAAGTTTTTCGCACAAGGGACTTTAAGATTTGGCCAAGACTGTGCTTTCCAGTTTTCCTTTCCCTCCCCCCCCCCAAAAAAAAAGCTATTGGTCTACATGAGCTTTCTTCCACTGTATCTGTACCAAGCATAAACAAGTTCTGTGTTGCCGTCTAGGTTTTATCCCTGATAATGACCATATTGTTAATGTACCATGTTTGAAGACTCAGAGCAAGGAGTTCTCAATGACGCATTCTAGTGCTCCAGCCACTGACATGGTAGCAGGTAGTGCACACTATGTTGCTTAATGACTTCTACTGACCACTGTCATTTCTGGCTTAGATACAATAGCTGATCTGGTGTTTCATCAAGCATGGCAAGTAGAAAGATCAGTATTGTCTCACAACAGTATCAACCCTACTTCCCACCTACAGAACTAACTTAAATCATATTCCGATACATGTACATACCCACCCCCCACCATTTAAAATAGACAAAGAGTGGCACTTTTATTTTAGGGGTGTAACTGTAGTGTGTCCAGGGGCAGGGCTGTTCTGATAAATTGTAGGTGACAATTTATGCAACTAAAATGTTAGTTAGAACACAAACATCTATTTTACACAAATTATTTCTAACATTTATTGTACTTGTGTAACACATTATTCAAGTGTTGTTGTTGTGGAGTCCTGTTATACATTGAAACACGCATAATATTAAGCTCTTAGAAAAAAGAATTGGGCCCAAAATATGGCTTGTCCCTCCTACATAGGGACAGTTGGGAGGTATGCATGCAGATGATGACTCCAGATGGCATGGGTTTCAAAGCATGGAATCCCGAGGTAAGATACAAACCTGCAACATGAACTCCCTTGTTATTCAACAACTAGCGACCTGTTTGAAAAATGTAATGTTTTGTTTTGCAAAGGCATATCTGTCAATTACCCACAGACTACCCATAGCAATAATGGGGAAAGATGTATTTTAGGTGCCTGAAAACAGACAGGTCATTTACTTATTTTCTCCAGGGTGTAGTGGCCATATTATGATATTTATTGCAGGGCAATAATAATACTTTAAAAGAACAGTTACTATGTTTGCTGAGCAGCTAAAGAGCAGTGTTACTCAACAGAGAAATCACTCTTCTACTTGTCAACCTGGACATCACAGTATTATTCATTGGAAAAGCTCATGGTATCTGTACGCATTCAAAAGCACTGACTGCTTGGGCAGAGAAGGTCTGTTCTGTGTTGGCACCAGATTAGTGGACACATTTCTGTGCTTTGTGGCATTTTTCAAGTTATATGGCATAAAGCACTGTTAAAAATGGACACAAATAAAAGTTTATATTAGAATATATTCATAAAGCAATGTAAATTAATGAGTTTTTCCAATCTGCACATGGAATTTGGGCAGCACTGAACTATCAAAGCCCAGCTTCCTGCTGTAGCTGCACACACAGAATCATAAACTGTGATGCAAATCTATTCATATTTGGGCAACAGGGAGTCCTGGGAAATGTCAAACTTCGTTTACTTTCATGTGGGAATCATGTACACTGGGTTGATCTTTAAAGAATTTTAGTTCCATCGAGCAACAAAATGCATTACCAAGCTTAAAGGTAATCAGCCAAAACTAAAAACTAAATTATATTTCACAGGCATACTTTGTGAAACCTTTTTAAATAGGTCTAGGCTTTTGTTTTTTTTTCAAATGGTTCAAAGATGGAAAATGCCATATAGAGAGATTGTTTTATTCCTGATATTTGGCATTGAAGGAAGACCTGAAGGAATATCATGCCATTTCACAGATTTAAGATTTAACCTGTGAGTATCTAATGCCAGCTGTCCCGATTAGGAGTAGCCAGTTTATACCCAATCAGTGGGTGTGCCAACCACAAGTTTTCATTATGTATGCAGAGGTCAGACTGCCCTATAATGTGCTCATTACTATGAGGACCAGAATGTTGGCAGGCACCACTGTGCAGAAAGGTTTAAAATGTTCTGTGTTTGGTTAATTGATATATATTGTATATCAATCAAACCTTTTCAGATATTGGAGTGTAAAAAAGAAAAAAAAAAGGTACATTGAAAAAAAAAAAATTAGGAACAGCTGCTGCAGAATCCTATTGGGAATCAAATTCACAGACAGCTATTTATTTTAAAAACCACATTACTTTGCACAGCCCTGCCACAAATCTCTGTAACAAGGCAGCAACTCGAATCACAGATCTTAAAGCATTTCTGCAGCAGCTGTGTTCTGTTCCACAAGTCACCAACCTCATGTTTGTATCTGCACACACTTACAACACAAATTCAAGTACCATTTTATTTTGCCAAATTAATATTTCAGTACTGACACGAAAGGTTCACATTGAACATACCTGTATGAGTTTACCAAAACTCCTGTATGGAAACATGAAGATTAAGAAACGAGGCAGACAACAGTAGTACATTTTTTTTTATAACCAGTTATTCACCTATGATATTTAAACTTTGCAAGAAGTAAAACCAGAAACCACATTTCCATAATAATCTTACATCTGCTAGGACTGATCATAATGCATTGTAAATGAGCAGTTTATATAACTAATTATTGTTTAAAAATTCTTCAAAATATTAGGTTTTTTTAATAATTGGAGATTTTAAACTCAAGGGATCATCGAAAACAAAACAAAATTGTTTATCATTTTACATATATATATATATACACACACATATATACACATATATATATATATACACATACATATATACATATATATATATATATATATATATATATATTTATATTAGAAATGGCAAAGATTGTGGCAGAGACTTTTCTTTAAAAAAAAAAAGTAACTGAAAATAATTCAATTATTGAGTCTTTACTGTAGACAGATCAAATCAGAAAAAAAATTATGCAAAAACATTCAGGTGATTTTAATTGAAAATACTAAAACCATTCACAGCCCTAAACAGATAAAGACATAACACACAGGCAAACAATGCACCAAGCAAATCTAAGATTTCGGAATTCAAGGTACTTTAGAGTAAACATAACAGTTTACCGAGCTACCCTTGTCATGAATATGAAAAAAAAAAAAAAAAAATTATATATATTTTAATATTAGCCTGCTGATGCAACTATGCATCAATCAGGAAAAACATTTAATCTATGCTTGCAGAGATTTTTGTATATATATTTGTATATATATTTATATATTTTTTTTATTTTTTTTTTTATTTATTGAGACATGCAAAACAAAACTGTCTCAATTAATAAATAAAAATAAAGGACACATTGACATTCCAGGCCATCATATTTGTTTCTTTAAAGGGACACTATAGTCACCCAGATCACTTCAGCTCAATGGAGTGGTCTGGGTGCCAGGTGCCCCAAGTTTTAACCCTTCAGATGTAAACAGAGAAACTGCTATGTTTACATTGCAGGGTCCAACCTCTAGTGGCTGTCTTCAGGGGGGGGTCCTAAGCATGCTATAGTGTCAGGAAAAAGTTTGTTTTCCTGACACTATAGTGATCCTTTATTAAAAAAAAAAAAATAAAATAGGTATCAGTATCTCAAAAAGTCTCTTCTGTTGCTAAATGAGTGGGGCAGTCATAGTCAGAACAGAGCCTTTAAAATGTAAGTTCTTCAATAAAGAGTTTTCATATGAAACTGTACACAAAGAACATCACATATAGGTAAATACGTTTAGCTTTCCTGTTACGGATTTACTGCATCCTGGAGAAAGCATATAATAGAATAATATTTTGGCCATTGACCAAAAAAAAAATGCAAAAATAAAGAGGAGTTCTAACAGCTCCCAGTCCAATATAAAATTGCACGCCTTCTCTACAAATAAAACCAAAACATTTACAGGTACACAACCTTTATCAACTGTGCTTTTATATACGGGTGAGCATGATGAACTGACACTTACGCAATTAAGTTGAGTTCTCACAATGAAAACTATTGTGAAGATAACATGGAATGTCATTTGTCCGTAACAAGTCAAAATAGACTAGTCATCCACAAAAATGAACAAGTTCATTTTAGGTAGATATACTTAAATTTTTTATTTTGTCTAGATTACATGATATACTTGCCTAAAGAGCACATCTCCCTCTAAATGATACAAGAGGCACCACAAAATTACTAGCCTGTGCGTGCACAGTAGGAGTTGAGATTAAATTTTTTTTTATTTTATTTTTTAAATTAAACAACTTTTTAACTGTACATTTGCTAGTAATTTCTCTAGCACACAGAACAGATGATATTATGTTAATCCTACTAAAGTAATACAAAGTCATGCTTTGTATGTCAGGTGTATGACCCTAAAACAAAGTAAATTTGAAAGCAAGAAAAGCACTGAGCATGTTTCATAATTGGGAATTGTCTCATTTGTTGCACTATTTCAGATGTGTGCTTTATAAAGGCACCCAAATGAGGAAAAGGAACAGGAAACCACTAAAAAAAATAAAAAATGTAAAAAATAAATAAAAAATAAATAAGCTGTAGCCGAATTTTTAAAGCTTTCAAAAACGACAGCAACTTATATGTTGCAGTAAAAACCAGCATAGTCAATGAGGTTTCATTTCCTCTCTAATTCTCACAAAAAAAAAGCAAAACAAACAAAAAAAGCACCACACACACTGGCAAGGTTATTATTGGAAAATGGTTTCTGTGCTTTGTCACTTACCAAGAGGCTCAAGCCCATGCCACACCAAAATGAACTAATAAACTTTGATGATTCATTGTATCAAGTAAAATACACTTCCTTGATGGGATCAGTTTGATGGTCTTAAAAAGAGATTTTGTGTTAATTCAGAGCAACATTTAGCTATGATAGTTATTGAAACTTTAATTCTTCAAAATAACTGAGGTGGATATTTGCATGACAGCTAGCAGCATATTAAAGGGCCTCAGTTTATATTGCAAAACATGAGTTAGCAAATATTGGGATACGTTAACTTTTTAGTCCATTTAGATCTATAGAAAACAAATAGGGCCCACACAAACTTGCATTTATATGCCCTTGACCTACTGGACAGGACAGCAATGTTTTCGTAGGGTAAAGTCCTTTTAAAAACAAAGATGTGTCAACGGCAAGTCTGAAAACACAATATGTAGTTTAACATGAAATATCAGCATTTCTTTAATAGGTGTGTTAAACTTTTTTTTTTTTTTTTTTTTTTAAATCCTCAAAGAACACAGCTTTTCATAAAAAAACAAGTCAGAGTATCACCACTATAGGCACCCAGACCACTTCAGCTCAATGAAGTGGTCTGGGTGTCAGGTCCCTCTAGTTTTAACCCTGCAGCTGAAAACATAGCAGTTTCAGAGAAACTGCTATGTTTCACTGAGGGTTAATCCAGCCTCTAGTGGCTGTCTCACTGACAGCCGCTAGAGGCGCTTCCACGATTCTCACTCTGAAAAGCACAGTAAGAAGACGGTGGACGTCCATAGGAAAGTAATGCTTTCCTATGGGCGATTTGAATGCGTGCGCCTCTTGCCGCGCATATGGAGCGGATGTCGGCAGAGGTAGCCAGGCGCTGAAGAAGGGTTTTAAACCCTTCAGCCTAGTGGGAGGGGGGCCCCTAATGACCCTACGAGTTTGCTTAAAGGACGACTATAGTGCCAAGAAAACTTTTTTGTTTAGTTTTTTTATCTGACATGCTCAAAACATGCACTTTGTAACTAGAATCATGATTGTCTTTAATATAGTGATGTTTTATGGCTAGTCTGAAAGGTGATCACTATTCTAATTACTGGTCTGCAGTTTGGTCCATAGGGGAAGGTGAAGGAAAAAACACCTAAGTTTTTGTTTTTATATATATCTCTCTCTTAAGGACTCAGTGTGACAAACAAAACATGTGGTCGGTCATGATTAATTGTGCTGTGTATGAATTTGTATGCATTCTTTTTGATGGCTGGAAATACTGTATAGCACAATATATACACACCTTTATAGACACACAGAAAACAAATACTGTCCAAAATGCACAGTGACCATGACCTGTAAACTAGCTTTGCTTTAGTCGTGTTCAGTTATTTTATAAAAAAAAATTTTTTCCCTACTGTTAACAGTTTACAATTTTAATTTCTCTAAAGGTAAAGGGCACACATTTTTAACATTATGAGAAGGAAGTCACAGAATGTTTACATACATATGCAGACACTGTACTATTTTGAATAAAATTATTTACACTGGGGAAATATTGACCAATTAACCGCAGAGCTACTAATAAAATTATTAGAAACCTCTAATTCAGTTTTTTTTTATTTTAGTCTGACTATGGTCACAAAATGCAAAACAAGACCATCAATTTTAACCATGTCACGTCATTAGTCCATTTTGGTCATGAGTGGGTCTGTCCATCGTACTTTATTGTATATAGTATAAAAACAGTTCATGCAGAATTCATGGATTAACAATATAAATATAAGTAAAGCTTTATAGAATGCTCCGACTTCAGAGGTCGCATACTATACCGTGTTATCGTGTCTGTCACCTGGAAACCAGAGTGTGCAAGGCACGATCGTATGGGTACGCCTGCAGCAAAGAACACATGCACATACAACTAAAGAGGTATAACACCCACCCCCATCAAAGATTAATCTCCACCCACATACAACCCTCCCATGGAGTCCCGAGGAAGACCACACCAAGTTATGCCTAAATCTTATAGTATACATTTTTATCATTTTATTAATTAGGTCTTCCCCCACATACTGTGCTCATGAATACTTTGGAACATTACAAGTTTTGTGGATATTCAAATATTTTAACCACAGTAGTTATATTAGAACACCAGTATTTAAAGATAACTAAAAGATGGATAATAAGCATATTTTTGGCAATATGTTCTGATAGCAAAGGATTTTAGGAGATTCCTTACGAGGTCTGAGGCCAGGCAGACCAAAGTTTAATGTTATAACTAAAAAGCATGAATGGCCAAAAGTTAGATCCCAATCTTTTGTAGAACTACATCTCACAAGTCAGGTTAGCAAAGCATCATGGAAGCTGAAGTACTACAAAGGATAAGGATCATTCTTTTGACCACCCTTGGTACAATACATTACTTCAAATCTATAAATAAGCTTTTTAGTGGATATTTTGTCTCATTGCACAGTAAATCTAAAAAAATAAAAAAAAAATAAGCCAATGAGAAATTGGTTTCATGTTGACCATAAAAAATTTTTTTATTTTTTTTTAAATGGCCGACCTTTTATCAAAACATAACTGTCAATTCTAATGGATTCAAGTATAAGTAAATGATAAGCTTATAATTGCATTTTGCAAATCGGTAAATTGAATGTGCATGGTTTAACGAAAAACTGTAAGCACCGAAATCTATTTTATAGCAAACTAATTTAGATTTTCTATTCATTAATAAGCTATACAGTATACAGTTATGTGATACTAGACTAAATTAAATTTTGTGGGGTTTGATTACCCATTTTGTTTAGTGAATAAAAGCAGTAAAAAACTTTCACCTTGCAAAAATAAATCTGCAAGTGATTGTCAAAATTCCGTGGAACATAGGTTTAAATACTTTTATTACCTATATAGGTTTAAAAAAAAAAAAAAAAAAGTATGTAGGTTGAGGTGAAATATCTGGTAGAACTGCAGTTGATGGTAAGAATTTATCCAACAATAGCTTTAGGGCCATAAACTACAAAATACAAATTATCTAGTCATCACTAAAATATACAAAAAGCGAATTTACTGAATAGGTCCTTTTACAAAAGTCACATTTGACCTATCACAGAAAGAATTTTTATTTAGAAGAAAAAAAAAAAAGCAATGTATCTGCAAGATTCAATCACCCCTAGTCAATATGCTCATACAAAGTTCTAGTTTCTACAAAACTGGATTCCTCCAATAATGTAACATTTGATATACACATATCTAGAGTTTGCAGAGCATGCATTTTAAACTAGATTTTAGATATAGATTACAAAAAGTATTTGAGGAGGGCTGGGCGCACCTATTCTTTGTTAACCTTACCACGTTTGCTACATTTTAGCCATTTGATTTGTTTGTATTAACACAAAGCTGCACAGAACTACAATTTTAGTCTTTTAGGTAAAAGTGAAATGGTCATGCTATTTTTACTTGTGCTCTCTTAAAAGAGCTTGAAACTGCGTCTATACATTGTGCTATCGGTATTGCTAGCAAATGCATAGATTTAGAGAAAACCCTATTAAAAATAGGTTTCTCTCCCATCTGTCTCAGTTCTTGTGCAGTTACACAATGCCTAGGGAGTATAGGAACAAAGTCAACAAAGCCTGTGTGTTGTCATCATGGAGGTTGGACCAGAGGTGGATGTTACAGAAGTTTAACAACCAACTCTATAAGGAGATTGTGGCAGGGTACTGTGTTTTATGGCCCTTGTTTAATCTGAAACAAAGAAGCCACGTAAGTGTTGATAGTTTCACTAACGTTTTTGGAATGGAGGAGGAGCCTAGATTTCCTTTCCTGCACTTCTGCTTGGAGATATAGGCTTCAAGTTTACTATGAATCATTACTTGAAGTGGGTATGGTACCCATCTACAGTATTTAACAGATTGAAGGGATTATGGTTCCGGGAGTCAGAGTGTGCCAGAGTCTAAATCACTGTTCGACAGTTTAATTATCGATCAGCACAGATTCTGTCTGAAGCGCAGTCCAAAATGACTTTTTATTGTGGCAGTGATTGGCTGAGAGAGCACAGCTAATGCTCTCCGCCAATCAATACCCACTAGCCACAGTATGGCCCGAAGCGGACTTCGCACTGACTGCCATTTTGTCATTGCAGTCTGCATCTCTGGTAAACAGTGTGAGTAAACTGTTTAACAGTGATGCAAAACCAGGTACCTTTGGATTTCAGGCACTATAATCCACTGTAGTGGTTATGGAGTCTACAGTGTTCCTTTGGTTAACAGGGATAGTGGCACCTTGCATTCCATCTTTTATAGGCTAGAATGATCATATTTTATTTCTGGATGCAGTACATTGTTTACACAGAGATGGATCTTGAATTTGTTAACTGCAGGTGGAATAGGGATTGACAGCACTATATTTAGGGAGGCAATGTTTTTATCCAAGAAATGTATGTGCACATTAAAGTAGAATATCAATATTTCCATCAGCAAGTTCAGATAGAACGTAAACATTATTGCAGATCTCAAATAAACCTGTGCACGGTTACTCACACATAACTACATCATTACTCAAAGAGGCAACATGACTGCTGGACTGCTCTTCTGTTGTTGAATTAAATCTTAAAACAGACTAGCAAGAAGCAGGATTAAGGCCCGAAACAGACTAGCTGGAAGCAGGATTAAGTCCTGGAACAGACTAGCTGGAAGCAGCTGCCGTCTGTAAAGCCTCCTGTGAAGAAATATTTCATTGTTTCAAAGTCCAAAACACTTGTGCGTCTGGCTGGACTTTGAAAGGACAGAGCACAGGAAAACAAATACAAGAGCTGCCAAAGTCAACTGCAGTGAGATTGAGATTTGAAATAAAACCAGGTCAAATCTCAATAACTTCTCAGACCGAGTCATGCGTAATTATATATATATTTGGTGCTGGTTTGTGAAAAAAAAAAAAAAAAAAAGTATAGGCCTTTATTACATGTATGGGAAGTTCATGAAAAATGTAAATATTGGGTTTTGCACCCATAAATACATTAGGCAGTTATATTGCATAGTAAAGTTTTGCTGCTAAATCTGTCTAGTCGCTGTGCATTTTTTTTCTGATGGATCCAGTTTTTATATTTTTGGGTGTAGTGCCAGGCAATTCCAAGGTAAACAGTAGAACAATTCTAAAAACAGTGACTATTTACAACAAGGCGTACCAGGGCACTCGGAACACCATGACCACTACTGTATACTGTAGCGGTTACGGTGTCTACAATTTTATTTTTTCATTATATTGCATTTACTTATCTCGTGTATATATTTATATAAATATATAATTTATTTTTATTTATTTATTTAATTTATTTATATTTGTGAGACCTGAACTTCTCCCTACAATTGGACACCTCCACTTTTGCTTCCTGTCTGTCACCGTTATGAATTCTGGCAATTGCACCTGGTCAGCAGTCAGCATAGAGAAAAGAGGAGACCTGTAGAAATATTTTTATTTATGCTCCTTATTTGAATATAGTGTGCCCTCGCTGTGCCGGGACTTAACTGGATTGTGATGTCATTTGCTAGTTGTGAGGTGATTGAATCTTTACAGATGCACATTGCTTACTATTGTAAATGTTGAGAATAAATCCTTGACAGTCTCTGTATAACTTACTGTACATTAATTCACTGATCATGTTTTACCTCTCTTCTCCAGAATAAACTGCAAACATGAAAAAAGCTGGGCACTGTAGTCTCCTCTACGGGTCAGAGGGCCTCAGTTTTTTGACTGCACCAAATGTTACATATAAGTGGAACTTCATAAAAATTCCCCATGGCTCCTGGCTACGTGCCTTTACTTCATACAGTTAAAGGAATATTGCAAGCTCACCCACCTGCAAGATGGCACCATATAACCGAAGGAGGACACATTTAGGCTCATTGGCTACCAGTTTCACGTCTTCGGGTAAGGAGCACAGGAACAGCATGTTGCTCAAACCACCTCTAAAATAATATAAAATTGCAAGATAGCTTTCAGTAATGTAGAATAACAGCCTTCTCAAAAGAAAAAATACAAATTAATTACAAATAAATATCTGCCTGACTGCATGTGCCTCGTTAGTCAATTATGATAGAACTGTAACAAACTCCATTAGAAACTAAGCCAAGTTTGTGTAATTAGAGGTCACTGAAAGAGGATTTGCAGGGTTTTGCAGAGTTCAAGAGCACTGAGAAACGTAACTAGGCCTTTTCTCAAGTTATGAGTGTTATGGCTGATAAACCTTGGCAGACTTTCAAGCAGATCACAAGACTATTATATTACAGCAATGGCCCAGAGGGTGCATGCTACTAATGACACTGGGCGCATATTCAGCCTCGCCATGTTAAGGAGACCAAGTTGAAAGACAAATGTGGATTTTTAACAGTTAGCTAAAAACCCTAATATTTTTAGAACTAAATGGTTTTGCCATTATAACTCTGCAGTATAACATGCATTAATACATTAGATTTTATTTTAGTCCTTAAAGTGGCTCTCTGTCAGGTTACCTTATGTATCAGTCAGGAGCAAGTCACAGGCTGGTATCTCTTTGCAGGGGACACTCCTAACTTTCAGCTTGTCCCTAGCGATTCTCACAACAGCTGCGATAAACCCGCCTCCTATTATGACGCGGCTAATGAGCGCCGTCATGATGCTAAGAACGCCACAGCCCACCAAGGTGTTCGAATGAGAACATTTTGGGGGCGTGGTTACCTACCTAAGTGAACACTGTATTTACAGGGAAACCAGGGAGAGACTCATTGCCCTGTTGTGGTTCTTGTTTGACCCAAGAGCGTGTATTCCGTATTGGTATTCTGACTTTTTCTTTGTTTGACTATTCCTCCTGTGTTCCTTTGACCTCGGCTATTGCATTATCGTTGATCCTGATTTCTGGTACCCCTGACCTCGGCTCGTTATTTGACTATTCTTTGACCGGACTAACACCACACACACATCCTAAGGTCAGGTATACATTACTAGTATTTGCATTCTGCGTGTAGGATCCCTGAACGTTCCTGACACTGTTACCTCTAATTTACCTTTCTCCTTCTATGGTTTCCTCTTCTAGAATCTGTTCTTTACTTTTTTTTATTTAATTCTCTTTAAAAAAACATAAGAGAAAGTAGGTACTACTTGTGCATTTTTCTAATCTTGACAAAGGGTGGAGATTAAGACAAACTCCACGATCTTTATCAAGCTAACAAAGCAAGTTGTCAAGTGTACGCAAAATACATAAAACAAACTAGTCCCTACTTTGTCTAATGGTTTAAAGAGAAATAGATCATGAAAAAACAAAAACAGATTCTGAAAGAGAAAATCGAAACACTAGGAGAAAGTTAAGTTTGAGATGAAAGATCCAATTTAAATGTATTGCCATGTGATTACATTTAAATTAAATTCTTATACTGCATTTTTAAAGTAATGAAGGCTGCCATTAAACTTAACATCCTAAAGGAACACTAAGCCTCTAACAAAAACTCTAGACCCTCAGACATTAATGGCCTACAACTAGTAGAATTCTTGTAATGCAGTATATGACAAGAGAATCATGGGTGTTGCAGTGAAACATACGTGGGGCTAGGCTAGCATTCGAGATGCCTGATTTATCTGCACTGAATTTAATCTCGCTGACGTGCTTTAGGGTTAACCATGTCAACTCTCGAGTTTATAAAGTTTTTTTGGTTGCACCCTCCCAGAAGTCAGTCAGGAGGATGCTCTTGCTGAATGCTTTGAGCCCTAGCACAAAGCAGAAGAGAGGGCACTTATAGTGAGGTTTATGTTTTAATGCTGCTGTATGAGATGCATTGCAGTGCAGACAAATATTCCATTCTATGCACTTACTTTTCCTGGGTCTTGGTTGCCACAGTAACTGTCTGGGAATTCAAGTGAGCATAACATTGGAGCAGAATGGGCAATGGGAGATTTTTGCACAGCCAAATAACTAACAAAAAGTTAGCTATTGGTAGCGCTATTTTTAGAGCTCTAACTTTAACCCTCCACATACAGTGCTGGGAACACTAGGCATTAAATGTAAGTAATGCCACACACCGCGCATGCCCAGGTATTGCACTATTGAAGGAGTGTCAGACCACAAGTACAACATTATGAGCATGCATCGTTGGTACGCAAGATAGCCCATAACTAGGAAGCGCGGCATAAGTATGCAGGATTTTTATTACCCACACAGCTTTATTCACCTCTATAAACACCGCAATAGCATTTACTGTTGGGGGAAAAAAGAACTAGCAATTCCAGAAAATCGAGTTTTGCTTTAAATGCACTATAATATTTCATAACCTGGTGTTCGCTACAATTTGTGAATAGTCACAATGTGAGTAAACAAATTGCAAGTGTCCTTTTTTTGTTTTTAACTCTGCCACAAAACCAGTTTAGACCTCTTTAAGCATGCCATAACGTCAAGACACCAAGGCAAGACAAGACCCAGTGGATTAGAGATTGTCCCATTATTGACACATTAACCCAATTTTCTTTAAATACATCCTCCTTCCATACTATCATCCAGAACAGTGTTAAGTAGCAAAAACAGTTCTGGAATAATGGTTTACTTGGATAATGTTTTAAAAAGTAAGCAGTGCATGATCAGTGAGTGCTGGATGTTGCAACATTGTAAATGGCATTCCCAGCTCAACACCATCTTCTTTAGAACACGTGTAGATTAAGGTTGCCTAGTGAAGTGTGATTTTTCAAGTCAAACAGTATGAATATGGCTTTTGTTTAAATGTGATTGTTGTATTTGCACAGTTTGCATGAACAAACCGCTTGGGCTGCAAAATCAAAACCACCTGGACTATGAAAGACTTTTTAAAACCCAACTTGTGTTTTCATGCTCAATAGTTGGATGATAATTTGGCATGTATCTGTCCCATGGGAAATGGAATATCATATACATGTTTTTTTTTTTTTACCTCTCTTGCCTAAACCTTCTCACATTCATTAGAGGTCATCTTCCTATAACTCACCCCCTCATTGCTGCTTATAACTACTTCTCTTTACATCAATCCCCATCATAATTCTACCTGATTTTAACTTTGCTTATGTGTTTGTCCTCTACTCCTCTTATGTCTTATAGAAACACCATTATAATGCAGATCGTGGCAGATAAGGGGATTACTCCTAAGCACCATTACCACTACAGTGATTTGAAGTAGTCATGGTGCAAAAGGTCGGTAAGTGTAGCGTTTCAGTACACCACACCTACAAAAATATGTGTTGAAGCAGCTTGAGGTGCAAGTCCACCTCTGGTGGCACCATTAGTCAGCCTGGAATGCTCAAATCTGTGCATGTGTCTATAGTAAGCACACACAGGATTCTGGTGAAGAACATCCAGTGCTGGCACGGTCCTACCCTCTGTGCCACCCTGTGCCCTCTCTGCTTAGCCTTCATGACATCCCTCCCCTTGCAGCTGGGGTGCCAAATAAGTAGAACCCAAGATTTTGTGTAACTACAACTCCCATGAGGCTTTGCATTCTTTTAGCATAATGGAAGCTAAAGTTTTAAAACATCTGGGGATCTACTTTTTGCCTTGCAGTGAGGAGAAGGTTCTTTGGGGGGTTTTTTGGGTTTTTTTTTTTTAAGGGGGCGGGGTCAACTGTGCCAGCAATGGTAATTTCAGCAAAATAAATAAGTGCGGTTTTAGTAAAACACTTCTGATTTATGAAATCTTTAGAGGCCAAGAAGATTATTAAAAATATTGACATTTGTCAATATGTGTGCACCTCCTTGTGAAGACTAAAATGCACAGTATTCAGGTGCGCATGGAAGTTAGCCCGTAGAGAAACATTACAATGGTTCTCTACGAGGAGAATCCTATTGGCGTAGCAAAATGATTGCCACAAATTAGCAGTAGAGCCATTAGTGCTTCTCTACAGAGAAGAAGTTGATTCACCAAGATTATCTGTCCAGATTATCACACCAGGAGGAGAAGCAGTGGCTTTGTGAGCCCAGGACTAAAAAGGTGTTTTTTGAGTTTATTTAGAATGGACCTAAACAGGACTAGACACACCAATATTAGAATACACATAATTTGAATTTATAAAATTAGAGTGTTCCTTTAAGTGACAGAAAAAAAAGGATCAGATTTGCACTGGTTTTATACATCGTTTAAATAAATCTTTAAGAATTATCTAAGCTTTCCGTTTTGACAGTTAGTGCTCTAGTATCTACTGTATTTCCATAGGCACCAATTTTGTCGCAACTGCAACATTTTTATTGTAACAGAAACGCTTACATAGAACTTAATGTGTGAGCTTGCAAGTTACATTGGAGATGAAGTTAGAATTTCATGGTTAGAATTTTGCCACACTTTTTCATTAGCCACAGGTTTATAAATCTTAAATGTGTTGCTAATAAAAAAAAAAAATAAAAATTAAAAAAAAATGAATTATATAAAGCAATATAGAGGCAATTATAAGGATGTCATTGTCAGATATAGAAAAATGTCAAACGATTAGTGGTTTAGTTCGAATGCATGTGAATAAAAATAAATAAATAAAGAGTGGGTGTGGTAGTTAGCAGAAACTGCTCAATTTGAGGCTACGACAAAAACTGGGCAGTTATTCAAAGGCTCATTGCTATAGAAGTTGACCCCATCACATGATGACCACATAGAAAAATAAAGGGTCATATTACAACTTCTTTAATAACCAAGGATAACAATGCAGTGATAGCAAACCATTGTAGCCCCAGCAGTTATAGACTACTGCAGTCATTATGCTCAGCCATTAACGAAGCAGCAGATGTAGTATTATAAATTAGCCAGGATTCACACAGGATGGAGGTAGTGATTGGTTTAAACCCTTTAAGTCATGGAGCCACACAAAAAAGTGTGTGTGTGTGTGTGTTTATATCTGGGTTGGGTTAGAGACCAGAGATGGATGTTTGTAGGTGAATATGGCCCCAATAACTAGCGTCAAGGTACCAAACATAAAATGTGTATGAGATGTGAGCTGGATGGAGATATAAAATGTGAGCTGGATGGGAGATATAAGACGAATGCTTGCATGTTACTGTGTGATGGGTGCGTGAGGAAAACCTGGATTGAAGATCTGAGAATGAGATAGATGCCTGTCAGTGGTTATGGTCCCCAGCACTGACCGTATTATAGAGATGTGGAAGCGATCCTCGTCCAGGTGTTTCCAGGCCCCGGAAAGGAACTCCTTACACCAGCGGTAAGCCTTGCGCCTAGTGCGGCTGTCTGGCTCATCCTCCCTGCAGCTCTCCTCCTTCTCACGGCTTTCACCTTCGGCCTCCACCCGCTGTGCGGTCACTAACCCCCCGGCAGAGGTAATGAGCAGATCCAGGGAGCTGGGCAACTCATCTCCGCAAGTGAACTTGGTCTTCATCCTAACAGAGGAGCTCTGAGTATATAGGGATGTCTATTAATAAATGAATAGGGACTGCTCAGTGAGAGTCACTGTATTAATTACACAGCCTAGACAAGTATAATAATTTACACCACACTCGTTATTTCCTCGCGTTTTGCTTTGAATGTATCTTAACACAGATGCTCGGTGTGCAGCTCAATACAAGGTCCAGACTACAAAGCAGCTGTCAATTCACGTCTGTTATCCACGCAGCTGGCTAAAGGTTTATAAAGGTTCTATACGTGACGTCACAAAGGCTGGCTGTCCCTCCCACGTCATTTGGGCTGCGATAGGCTGCGAGCTGTAGCATCAAGGAACGACTGATAATGTTACACTTGGCCGTTGCTGTGGTGACACGTGTGGCCGCCGCAGGTATTACACAGAGGGCTGTATGAATCAGAGAATGTGAGGAGCTGCTGCAGTTGCCTTGGATACATGCTGATGCCTGCCAAGAAGGAGGCCCAAGTAATAACCCAGAGAGGCCAGGGCCATTTATCTCGAATAGCTAAACATTGTTTTTTGGGGGGGTTTGTTTTTGGTTTGTTTTTTTCAAAGAATTGAAAAATCCCCTTGGGTATTATAAGGACCACTGTCACCTCAAAACAATTTTTTTTTAATATAGAAACACTTTCATCAGGTTTTTAAAGAAAATATATATTTTTAAATGAAGTATATGTAAAAACAAATATGAGAAAACACATCCCCTACCTTTAGTATATGACAGGATCCTTCAGCCATGTACTGAGCATACAACTGGGATAAGACAGTATCGACATTTAGTCTGTATAGCTTCATTCCCTGCACAAAAGCTGTGAAGATTATAGACTGTCTGTTTTCAAACACTGTCTGATCCAAGGTGTAGCTGAAATATCCTGTCATATAGGGGATTTCAGAATGTTTGTAAACAATAGGCACCAAGATACTTTCGGGTGGCAGAACGAGAGCTTCTTGCTCTGTATCACCAGGGCCGGACTCGGGATACGAAGCAGCCCTGGACAAAAATCTATGCCAACCCTATAAGTCATTGTGCTATGTAGGGTGTATATATATATATATATATATATATATATATATATAGGCAATTGAAATGGTTGGCTGCACTCTTGGATTTCTTTAAAATGTAACTTTTATTGAAATATTTAAGAGAAGATCTACGTTTCAGTCCCTCTTGTGGACTTGCATCAGGGTCATGACGAAAGTCCACAAGAGGGACTGAAACATTGATCTTCTCTTAAATATTTCAATAAAAGTTACGTTTTAAGGAAATCTGAGAGTGCAGCCAACTATTTCAATTGCCTGGATACTGGAGCCCTGGTGATGCAACAGTATATATATATATATATATATATATATATATATATATTTTATTGATACCGTATATACTCGAGTATAAGCCGAGTTTTTCAGCACATTTTTTGTGCTGAAAAACCCCAACTCGGCTTATACTCGAGTCAGTCTGTATTATGGCAATTCACATTGCCATAATACAGACTGGGGGCTTGCAGAGCTGTTACTTACCTCTCCTGTCAGCTCCCTCCTCCTCCGCGCCGGTCCGTGCAGCACCTCGGTCAGCTCCCAGTGTAAGTCTCGCGAGAGCCGCGGGGTCATAGTGCGGCTCTCGCAAGACTTACAGTGTGAGCTGAGAGAAGAGCTGCACGGACCGGCGCGGAGGAGGAGGGAGCTGACAGGAGCTGCAGGAGAGGTAAGTAACAGCTCTCCCAGCCCCCCTCCTCCTCCCACTGAACTGCCAATGCCACTGGACCACCAGGGAAGGAGAGCCCCCCTCCCTGCCATGTAACAAGCAGGGAGGGGGGACACAAAATAAATAAATTAATAATGTACAAATATAAATAATAGTAATAATAAAATAATAACAAAATATTAATAAAACAAAATAATAATATATACATATAAATAATAAAAATAATAACAAAATTAAAAAAATAATAATATAACAAAAAAAAATTAAAATAATATATTTTTTTTTTTTTATAAAAACGCCCACCCCCCACCAAGGCTCTGCAACACAAACACACACTGCACTCATACACACACACACTGCATCACACACACACTGCACTCATACACACACACACTGCATCACACACACACACTGCATCACACACACACACACACTGCACTCATACACACACACTGCACTCATACACACACTGCACTCATACACACACACTGCACTCATACACACACACTGCATTCACACACACACACTGCACTCATACACACACACTGCACTCATACACACACACTGCACTAATACACACACTGCATTCACACACACACACTGCACTCATACACACACTGCGCACTCATACACACACACTGCATTCATCATATACACACACTGTAAATAAATATTCAATTAATATAATTTTTTTAGGATCTAATTTTATTTAGAAATTTACCAATAGCTGCTGCATTTCCCACCCTAGTCTTATACTCGAGTCAATACGTTTTCCCAGTTTTTTGGGGTAAAATTAGGGGCCTCGGCTTATATTCGGGTCGGCTTATACTCGAGTATATACGGTACTTTTCTTCCTCTAATTCAAAATCTTAGTTCTAGGTTAATTAAATTATACAGTAAATCATACTCACACACAGACACAGACAATCTTACTGATGCACACAAATTGGCTCATTGACAGACAATCTCAATGACACACACAGACAAGGTTACTGGCACACACAAACTGATACACAGACAAGCTTACTGTCACACACACACGCTCACTACAGACAAGCTCACTGACACACATATGGTAACTACAGACAAGCTCACTGACACACATATGGTAACTACAGACAAGCTCACGATCACACTCATGCTTACTACAGACAAGCTCACTGTACACACATGCTCACTACAGACAGGCTCCGACACACTCATGCTCCTTACAGACAAGCTCACTAACACACACACACACACATATGAACCCTACAGACAAGCTCACTGACACACATACAAGCTCACTCACTAGCAGGCACACACACACACAGAGGCTCCCTCACTAGCAGATGCGCGGGGACACACACGCACACACAAAGGCAGACAGTTACTGACACCGAGGTAAACATCCACACATACAGAGACAGGCAGACAACCACACACACACACAGGCAGACAGTCACACACACACAGGCAGACCGCCTCACACACACACACAGGCAGACAGACAGCCAAACACACACATACAGTCACAGGCAGACAGTCACACACAGTCACACACACACAGAGTCACACACAGTCACAGACAGTCACACACACACAGAGTCACACACTCACAGGCAGTCACACACAGACACACTGACCTGCTTCTTACCTCCTGCTTGGAGCTCCTGGAGGCTGGTTGTTGGGGAAGCAGGGACGCCTTCCTGCTTCCCATGCTGCTGTTAGCCAGGCCCCCGCTGCACGCTAATCTCCGCCGCACGGTAAGTCCGCCCCCGCCGCATTTTTTATGATCCCGGCTGGCCATTTGTGAGCTGTGCCGGCCGCCTGGCTCCCCCTGCTCCCATGGGGCCCTGTGGCCGCACAGCTCACACATAGCCGGCCGGTATCACAGGAGCCTGAGCAATGATTAGGGCTGTCAGCCTAGCCCCAGGTGCCGCGGCCCACCGGGAAATTTCCCGGGATTTCCCGGTTGGCCAGTCCGGCCCTGTATATCACCCTTGTGTCAGCCCCAATACTAGCTCTCCATGGCCTTCTTGCAGGGCCTGAAAGGTAAGAACAGTCACGTCACCAGGCATGTCTGGAATCAGAATCCTGGTACCGGTCACAAACCACTGCCCGGTAGCCGAAATGGTGATTTAGTAGCAGCATGGGTTAGATGTAGCCCTGAGCAGGGGTTAATCATTCACCAATCCATCCTGTGTGTCACCACGTGGTGCTGCTCTCTGAGTCGGGGACAGGATGGGGCCTCACACACGCAGCTCACTGCAGGCAGACCTTTAACCAACACTGCATGGGGAACAGCAACGGCACAACAGAGGTTAACACCACCACTACCACCCCTCCATGTGCTGAGCCAGCTGGCGATTAAAGGGTTAACTCCGGCTCCCCAGATGTTGCTGAACTACAACTCCCATGATTCTTTGAATTACATAGATAGCCCGAGAATCATGGGAGTTGTAGTTCAGCCACATCTGGGGGGGCCGGAGTTGCTGAGACAGCCACTTGAGGCTGGGCTAACCCTGAGTGTAAACTTAGCAGTTTCTCTGAAACTGCTATGTTTTCAGCTGTAGGGTTAAAACTAGAGGGACCTGGCACCCAGACCACTTCATTGCGCTAAAGTGGTCTGGGTGCCTATAGTGGTCCTTTAAGTCCTCCTCTAGTGGCTGTCTACAAGACAGCCACTAGAGGGACTTAGGGATGCTTAGATGACTTTTGGTCGTCTAAAATATGTTGGACGTCCTCACGCTATGCATGAGGACCTACAGAGTCACCGTAATCTCCATAGGAAAGCATTGAGTATGGCTTTCCTATAGGGGAAATCCTAATGCGATCGCAACCATTGCCACGCATACGCATTAGGTCTCTCCCGCCGACGTCAGCCAGGAGCGTGGGCGGAGCCTGACCCAGTGCCAAGGGACATCGGCGCTGGATTCAGGTGAGTGACTGAAGGGGTTTTAACCCCTTCAGTGACGTGGGATTGGAGGCGGGAGGGAGGGGGTCACCACAGGATTCTATGGTGCCAGGAAAACAGGTTTGTTTTCCTTTCACTAGAGAATCCCTTTAATACTGTGTAAATGTTATGATCTAAACTCTGTCTGTGTTATGGGTTTGGAGTTGTTTTATTTATAAGTTTAATTTAATCAGTGCAGTCTGCCATTTTGATTGAGTTAGTGCTGCTAAGACACTTGGCACCAGGTGTGGGTGTAATTTAATTAAACTGTTATCAGTTGTTATGTTTTATCCCCCCCTTGTGTGTATCCCTCTTCCCCCTTCAATAACATTTACATTGTTCTTTCCTGCACTAGGTTTTGTCTGATGTTTGGAGATACAGGTAAAATAGTGATTCAATACATCCTCACCTGCTGGAGGTTGCTTCACAGAGTCATTGCAGGCAGGGATGAAAGCTGTAACCTATGTTCACCCTGTTTCTGTTACAAAGACCCATTGCAGATGCCATCAAGATACATTTACTCAAAAGGCATGCACATTCATCACTCCCCATAGAAGCAAGTGGTGTATCTCTATGCACTAATTGAT